CAACTCACAGCCGGAGTTGTGGACTCACAGCCAGTCTTCTACTAGCGTAGAAATCCACTCCTGGTCTTCTACCTTATTTATTGACTTTCTTAATCTGATGTCCCTTCCAAAGGTAAAATCTATTTGTCTCAGATGAGATTCAGGTGATTGTTTTGTTACATCATTGGCAAGATTAGTAGATCTAAAGGAAAGCAAATTTTGACATATAGTATCAAATGATTTTAATTGTTTTTAAACTATATTGTTATGATTTCTTCTGTGAGCTAACTTGGGTCCTACTCTGGGACAAGGCAGGATATAAATAAAATAAAATAAAATAAATACAGCACCGTCCATAAATATGCCTGATTGTGTGGAAACAATGACATTTAGTAGCGTCCATGTCAGTAGAGCTATCCAATGTGCTAAACCCATTTTGGGATAGTATACAGTACCTCAGATACTGTAGCTTCTTTCAAATTTGGACCAAAACCCAAAGCAGGTTTACCACTCCAGTAGCATAGAAGCCACAAGCTATCACTATATGGAAAGTCCCCAGCCAGTGGTGGTCTTGGAGACTCTCCATGCAGTCTGGGTCAACTCTATCTTGAATCCCTACAAGTGCAGAAAAATGAGGAGTCATTTAGGCTTTGAAAAATGCATATTACTTAGCCTTTGGAAAATCTATTGCAAACTGAGCAGGGACTCTTCAGGTGAATTGCTTTATGTTTTTTCTGAATTGCAAGGAGTCAAGCTTGTTCTAAATAAATAAAAGAATTTCATTTGTTAAATTGCAGCAGTTGACCTTGAAAAACACATTAATTTTTTTGGAGTACATTAAAGCAAGTATTTGTGTGTAAATTGCCCTACTGTTTTGTGATAGTGAATTGAAAACCAAGTTAATCGTAGATTTTAGCTATAAATGATTGCAAGTTGTAAAAGGCTTGATGAACAACAAATAGTCTACAATCTTTGTTTGCACTTCATTAAATGAAAGAGCAGGCCTCAAGGAGTTTCTGAATAGTCAGTTGGATGCAACATTTCATCCAGCTTGCTCCTTCTCCAATTAAAGTTCTCAGTGGCTCCATCTAGGTGGGCAGAGGTGAAGGGAGATGACAGTGTGAGGAAGAGGAAAAAGTGGAGTAGCATATTGCATGCTAAAATGGTTCAGGAAAAGGGCCAGCCAAAGACATTAGCTGCCTGAAATAAAGCAACTTTTTATTAACACTGTGATTAAAAATGTATGTTTTCCACATTTGAAATACAGGCAATTATATTTACAAATTCATTCTAAGCTTCAGTTAAAAAACCAAGATTCCAGGATGCCATTCTATATTTTCACAAAACACATTCAGCCTGTTGCTCATTTTGTTCCTCACCATTATTTGCTGCTGTTGCTTCTTTATCACTGTATCTAGATTTCTTTGCCATCCACATCAACTTGTAGAATTATTTATGTAGCCATGTTTTGCCTAGCATGTCGGTCTGTATCACATTAAAAAGGAACCTATGCTTAGCCACAAGTTATTTTTGAACACAAGGTAAAATGGTTTAAAGATTATGAGGAAGCCATTCGAACTGGTTGTCATCCCTCTTCTTTTTTAAAGGAGGGGAATTTTTAAAAGCCATTAGCAATAATCACTCATTCATTTCCACGAAGCAGTATGAGAGAGGAGTATATTTTCTTTTGGACAGGTTTTAGGATTTTCCAGAATACTTTCACTAGATTTATCAGTGAGAATGAGGTACACAGGAATGACATTAGGTAACAAATGGCAGACCTGCCCATCCATCTATCCAGATCAAGATACATCATTTCCAAAGCCAGCCAAGTTATTTTAGGCTCCTATGAAGGAAAATCACACAAGAATTTGTCATCATCTTGGCAGTAACAGTACAATGATAGCAAACTAAAGAAGTAACAATTGGTTGCCTTTTCATGAGAGTCCAAATCTGTTGCCTGAGTATTTTGATTATAATCCTCAGTGTAACAGTAGGACTAATTCTACAGGAAGAAAACATAGGATGGAAATACATTAGGGACATAAGACATGATGCTCTGAGCACATTCTTGGTCCAAAGCTCAAATCTACTCCTACTTTTCCTCCCCACTACTTCAACAACCTAATTTAGGATAGAGGGGCTATGGTCACTGTTAGACAGTTTATAATTGGAAATCCTTGTGCAAATGTAGTAGAAATCAGCTATATATCTATCACCGATATATCTCTGTCTATCATTGCTCCATCTCTGCTGTTGCCTTTTAACCTCAGTTATCAAAATGGTTCAGATTTCATATGCAGAGCTGCATATTTAAAATTGTATTTACGTATTTTACATTGTAAAACATTATCCTGGAAACCATATAATTGCATGGCTCATTATGCTTGTGACTGTACATGCATTCTGCCTTTCTCTTATTTTAATTGTGATTCATTTGTTGTAACATTTTCAGTTCAGATATGATTGACTTATTGAGAGGCTGACTGATGTTGTAATAAAAATTTATGAGTGAGTTTTCCTCTCCATGTGGGTAGTACCAAATGGTCAGCAAGAATATATATATATATATATATATATATATATATATATATATATATATGAAATAAATAAAAGCACAACATATAAAACTATTTAAAAACAAACAGGGAAATATATACAACTCCATGCAACTTGTATATACTTCACTCCTTTTTTAGTTTGTTGGAATTAATAGACAAAGATGACTTTAATGTACTTTAAAAAGCTCTTTTTCTAAACAAATGTCAAACTATTGAAAAATACATAACTCTGACACCTTTTCAAAGTTATGGGTCTAACTACTTTTTTGCCTGTGGATTCAGTCCAGGAAACTTATGTCATTTGTACATGTTCTGCCAACATGTGTGGTAGTGATTGCATAGGTCTGGACTAATAAGAAGAAAAGTAAATATAGGCTCCACCTAGCTAGCTTTATGTAAGGAGTTGTTTTTAACTAGTGGCCACATCTGCATTAAATGCATGCACACACATTTTCTGTAATACACTGTCAAGTTGACTTTGACATGTGATGACTATGAATGTGAGATTGCTAAGAGATCATGTTGTTAACAGCCCTGATTTCACTAATTCAGGTCTACAATTTCCTTGACTGAATCAATCCATCTGTAACGTAGCCCTCCCTTTGCCTACTGCCTTTCATTTTTTCCAAGCATTATCGTTTTTCCCAATGAGTAATGTTTTTTCACTACATTCCCCAAAGCATGCAGATAGTTTAGTGGGTCCATTTTGTAAAGGAGTAGCCAAGTAAGTTGCACCAAAACAGCACAGACAACTATTTATAATTTCACTGAGATGGGGGCTGAAATCCTGCATCAGAAGACATATGTATATCATAAAGCTAAACCTTCATAGCTATGGATGTTATCACACGGGGCTCAATCCAAACAGAATCCAATCGAAATGGTGAACGAATCTGGATTATTTGCCCGTGTTTCCACACAACGTTTCACAGAACCCCGACAGAACCCCAACAGAAAGTGGAAAGAACCGAGATCTTTTGAATTTCGGTTTTTTCAGGAATTGCAATTGCACGACGGGAATCATTTCGTATTTACCTTAGGTCTGATAACCAAATAAGTATTGTGGCACATTTCCCCGCTGTTGCCATGGTTC